CTGGCAGGTGGACAGGTATTGGACGGTGACGTCATTTGTTTACTCTTGAGCTTCGCTAAAGAACAGAACATTTTTGCTACCATGAGCGCAATTTCAAGGTACAGTGGAACCTCAAATATCGAACTTTCTTCATTCCAGACGGCTGTTCAAGTGCCGTTACCAAATGAATTTATTCCCATCAGGAATAATGTAAATTAGATTAGTTCATTTCAGACCCTCAAAAATACACTTATAAAAGCACTTACAAAAATACACTTACATAAATGCTTGAGTTGGGAGCAGTTCGATATTTGAGGTTCCACTGTACTTTTCGTCATGAAGCAATCAAAATCATATCTATTTCTGTAATATATATTTCATTCTATCAAATGAGACCGAAAAAATGAGAATATAACCATGAAAACATACAAAAATATACCGCTAAGCGGCAGCTAATGGCTGAGAAGTGAACTCCGCTATTTATTGTCTGATTTCTTTCATTTTTGGTGTACATGAAGAAGTATCTTTCCATCATACATTGCCCAAGTTTGAATAAGATAACCCAACAAACAACTGAGAAAATAATATAATAATAATAATAATAATAATAATAATAATACAGTAATATCTTTATTTACTACACGTACATGTACAAGGTATACAGACATAGCTGACATCAGTGACATACTACTATATAGAAAGCCGCTTGTTATGCAGAGTATTTCAAGAAAATTAGATCATTACCTCTGGATAACACCCACACTAGTGGCTAACACCCAGGTACCCATTTACTGATGGGTAAACATAGACAACAGGTGTAAAGAAACACGCCTAATGTTTCTACCCTGGCTGGGAATCGAATATTTACCAAAAATCATATATGGCTAACCCAAGCCAGGTACTAAAAATAAGCCACGTTGGCTTTTTTGGGTTATCCTAGGTTCTCTACACATATGCTGCTATGTGTGATAATCTATATAGAGAAAATAACTTTTTTGTTTCAAGTTTATGGTGCAGTATGAGTGTATATCACAGTTAGCCCTGTGCTGTACTCCATTTTCTCTAATATAAGCCCCCAAGACAGGGATAGGAGAATGGTATTTGTATACCATATCCTCTTCATACCTCCATCGAACTGCTCAGTGTTAAGCCAAATATTATTTATTCTGGAGTATTTAACATGTTTTATGTTATTTATATTGTTTATTATGTCATATTAAATCAGCTTTGATAGGCAAATAAGCTGTAGTGTTGATATTAGCGTAATAATAAAGCATATTCTCCTGCCTCGTGAGACTGAGCTCATGACAACCGACAGTGGCTTCAAAGCCACCTTATCTTTAATGGATAATGTACTGTGTAGGTGCTTTACATAGTGAGAAGCATTTCTTTTATTCATTGGAACCATGGCTAGGGCTAAAAGTAAGCAGGTTAAAACAATAAATGGAGAAAAAGAAATTGGAATGACTTATGCAGCAAGTAGTGCCACCAAACAGTACCAGCAGGTTGGTGTGGCAACCATGGAAATTTGAAATTATGCTAGCCAAAATTAGTGCCGAATAACTGAAGGAACTGAATAACTGATTGCCGGATTAGTGATGGTGGACCTGTACCATTATACATAGTATGATCCTCACTTAGTGATGAATTAGTTTACTGATGTGTTCTTAGGAACAGAACTCCGTCGTTAAGTGAGGAAAGGCTGTACATCATATATCAATATTCATCTAGCATGACAGTCACATAACTTATTCAAGAAAGAAATAGTTAGGCCTGTTACAGTTATTTGGATTTTAAGAAAATCTTTAATAAGGTTCCTCATGCAAGGAATAAAAAGCAGAACTATGTAATACATTAGAGATTTTCTATATGAAAGAAATATGCAAACTAAAAAAAAATGGGGGGGGGGATTATCCCAAGAGAATTAATAAGTCTTGTGCAATATATCTTTTTCTATATATACAGAAGACAAAAAAGACTATTACTCTAAAACACATGCCATCAAAATGAAAAAACAAGAAGTCAGTTGACTCATAAAAATCAGAATAACACAATTGTAAACTACTTGGAAATTGGCTTGTCATAAGGTCAAACCCATGACAAGCCAGTCTTAACCCTTTCAGGGTCGCCAGGCCCTCTCCAAGACTTGCTCTCAGGGTCGCTGAAATTTCAAAAAAAAAAAAAATCTTATGAAAAGATAATCTTTTCTCGATCATAATGACACCAAAAGTATGAAATTTTATGGAAAACTTACAGAATTACACTCTCGCGAAGTTAACGGTCTTGATGATGTTTACACATCAGCGATTTTGCCCACTTTGAGCCCTATTTTCGGCCAATTCCAGAGTACTAGTCGACAAAAATCATAACTATTTCACTAGAACTCCATTTTTTCTATGAAATGAGTACAAAAAACCACCCATTTACCAATTTTAACTATCCAATACAGTGATCAGAATTTAGCAATTTTGCCAATTTCACACAAATTTCAAAAGATGCCAATTTCCAAATAGGGTCCAGAATAAACACGAAAGACATTCCTGGCAGTAAAATAACATTTCCTCTGTTCACTAGTCACATCCCCACGGTCCTCTTACATTCTTTTGCTTTCCACTTTGAATTTTTATTCTCACAAAAAATAAAAGATTTACTGTTATGCAGAGTACTGCATTAGTGTAGAAATAGTATAAATATTATTGGCGCACTTGTGAAAGAATATCAGACTCACCAGTTGATATGTATTGGATGATTTGTATACTTTTGAACTTTGGTAAAAATCGAACATTTCTGCTACTTTGAGCTCAATTTCAAGGCACTTTTCATTGTAAAACCAGTGAAAATTATCTCAATTTCTGTAATATGTCTTCCATTCTATAAAATGAGACCAGGAAAACTAGAATACAACAATAAATACCATACGAAAATACAGTGCAAATTCGCTGTTTTAATCCAAAAACACAAAGTTTTTTTTTTTTCTCATTACGCACTGTGTGCTGCAGGATTTTTTTTATACTGTGCACACTGACCACATAGACCCATTCTTTCATATGTAGGCCTACCAGCTTTCTCTCACTAGATTTGAGGGCGCTAGAATTTAGGCGTACTAGTACATCAAAAACCCTGGTGCGTAAGCCGTACTAGTATGTCTGAAACCCTGAAATGGTTAAAAGTAGCAAGCTAGTGCTGTCACCACTAGGTCATGCATGGAACAGTGGTGAGAACATTGGTAAGTGTAAACTGGCTGCCATCTGTTGAGTAGTTCTGGGGATTATCTTTACCATGGGCAGGTCTTAAACCAGGCCTCCTGGGTAGAAAAGGCAAAACATGAGAATTTAAGAACTATTATAAAGCACTTATTGAAGTAAAGGCATACCTATTCCGAATAGAAGTAGATGTTTGTAAGATTTACCTGTTATCTTATGTGCATATGAGACAAAGAAAAGATCAACAGTCCTGCCAAACATTGGTTCAAACTCTCTCCATTCCCAAAGAAGTCATTTGTGAGCTCATGAGAAAAACAAGTGTCATATAGACACAAGTTTTTCTCATAGTGGTGTAACACTGGAATGATATACAAGAAATGGCAGTAAGTGCTACAAACTCTGGAAATTCAAAGTACATATATAATACAATAGCATTAGTATTAGAGTGCCAGAAATGCTCAGGCATGTTAGTGGCTTTCTTTGTGCTTAGCATTATTTTATAACATGTAAATCACACATTGTATACTATGCAAAGAAATAATTTTTTTTATATAATTAAATTTAACCCTTAAACTGTCCAAACAGATCTATGTTCACATGCATAGTGCTCCAAAAGTAGATCTACGTTTTTTTACATATTTTCAAATATAACAAAAAAAACAAAGATCAAAGTTTTTTTACACTTTTTCAAATGTAAAAAAATCAATAAGAAGATCTACATTTTTTTACATACTTTCAAATGTTGAAAAAACATGTATCTACGTTTGGACAGTTTAAGGGTTAATATACAAGGCCTGGTCATGGACCGGGCCACGGGCGTGTTGGCCCCCGGAACATCCTCCAGGTATACTCTGTTAGTTAAAAAACTACAATCCTAAATCACTTATAAATTTTGTAGTACTATACAGTAATCTCTAATCCAGTCATTTCTTTTTTTAGAGAGGTGGATGGTCCTTAGCTAAATGCACTACTTTGATAACTAAATAAACATTTTCTGTTATAACATGTTTAAACATCTGATGAAAAATTTGTTTGGAATATTGGATAAAGTTAAACACAAGTAGCATTGTAAGGACTGCAAGTTCATAAGTAAGTGGTTTGCACTACTATGAAAACTGAAATAATGTGTTACATTCCAAAATAAGGATGGGCTCTTAAACAGATTACCTTCATATTGGCAGTAACTTTACAGTAATACAGTGGACCCCCGCATAACGATTACCTCTGAATGCGACCAATTATGTAAGTGTATTTATGTAAGTGCGTTTGTACGTGTATGTTTGGGGGTCTGAAATGGACTAATCTACTTCACAATATTTCTTATGGGAACAAATTTGGTCAGTACTGGCACCTGAACATACTTTTGGAGTGAAAAAATATCGTTAACCGGGGGTCCACTGTATATAGAGATCATTCACCTCTCATCGTGTTTAATACAGGAATGTGATTCTATAAATTTTGCTTTCCATCACTTGAACCACTGACAGGTTAATCTTAATGTGTTTCCTGGAAGATTGAATAGTTATATGAGCTGGTGTTGCACTTCCTTCATGGCAGTGATTTATAACACAAGCTTGAGTGCCAATTAACACCATCTCTTCCCTTGCATCACCCGGGCTGCTGCTGATTTGCTCACACGGCTGCTATAATTTCCTGGGGTTACCAGACACGTGTGTTATTGAATTACTGGTCGGTGTGCTGCCTGCTTGTCTAACACCAGTGTTGCTAGTTGCAGCAAGGGAGTGTATTGTACTCTCTTGCTCAAACTTGTTTGTCTTTCTTGCTGACTGTTGACTAATAGTGCTTCACTGTGTGTAGCCTGAGTGATGAGGAGTTGAGTGACGGGCCGCAGCCCCCCACGCCACCCCCCCGCCGCACCTCCACTCACTCCTGGGGACTGGGATGCATTGGTCGCCAGGACGCCCAGTCTCGTAGCTTCAGCAACATCGCCGATGGGCTGCGACTGGCTCATGCTCAAGCCTTGGCCGTGGCAGGCATCGTGCATCAGTCATCTACTGGTTCAGCACCATTTAGACGGGGTCTGCGTGCCTCGTTCCACGGCCGAGGTACCCCGCGCACCCTGTACCCCAGGGGGCATCATCTGTCATGCCCCACCACCCCAGCCTCCGCCCGTAGGGAGCACCACCCCAGGCCCTCCCGTGGTGGTCTCCTGGCCCTTCCTGCTCCCCCTAGCCAGGCGGCTCAATCCTCAGCAGGGTGCGAAGATCCCTCCAGCCAGCTGCTGTCAGTGCGGGCACTGCTCCAGCACATGGCATCTCTACGCCCCTGTGTCACCCTTCCTTATGTCTCCTCTAGAGTTCTGCCCAATACTCCTCCTTGCCAGTCCCACATGCCATTCCACCGCCGCTCCCTCCGTGCTCCTCCACGCCCACCCAACATTTCCCTTCACCGCTCTCTTGACAATTTCCACCCCTCCAGCTCTGACTCTGACTCAGAACTAGAGACTACCCATAACCTTGCCTCTTTCCATCTTGAGGACCTGTCTGAGGTGTCCTCCAGTGTGTCTGAGGTGGCTGCCTCCACACACAGTCTTCCTCAGTGTGGTTCCTCTCACCAAGCATCCTGCCACACAACCTATTACAACCACAACTTCCATAGCCATAGCCAACACCATAAGCACCATCCACATCGTCACTTACCTCAGGTTCCACAGTCAGAGCGTAATCACCATCATCACCATCATTATCAACAAATTTATCAATACCACCGTCTGTTACCTGAAGATTCTGACCACAACTATCACCATGACTCTAATCAGCAGGTGCAACATATACCCCATCATCAACACTTGATTTCACATACCCAACCACAGTCCTCTCCTGAACTTCACCAAAATCCTCACAATCACCATCACCATCTCCACCACTGTGTTCTTCCATCATCAGTGTCAACTCTTAAGCTGTCTTCGCCTTCTGCTGGTGTATTTGCTGGTGCCTTAGACTGGGACGTATGCTGTGGTTCTGTGGGGGTGTCCGGACTCCCTCACCCCCGTAATGGCTGTGCCCCCTCCACTCCCCTTCTGTCTCTCTCTCTTAGGTAACTCTCTTCTCCTCTTCTATCTCTCGGGAGTACTTGTGCCTTTGTCATAAATCTGTAAGTACTGTTGGTTCCCCAATTACTGCTGGACACTTTGACCCAGCTTTAATGTAGTTGGGTGTTCCCTGTTATTGTCACTTTGTGTATTCTTCCCAATACTTTTATGGCAGTGGGTGTGTTCCCCCAAGTTTGATTAATGCTAAAAGTAATTCCCTTGTATTGTCATTTGTTGTATATTGTACTAACATTTCCAGTAAAGCAAGCCTTGTGTAGATTTGACTGGCACACATAAGGCACAAGTTCACACCACTTAACTGCATGCTCAGTAGACACAAACAGTTGACTGCAATCATTTTAAAGATATTTTTTGCAAAGGTTTTGTTGCTGTCTGTTTTAAGTGATAATGAATTTTGCACATTTTGTTTTCATCATTTTTTTAACTCCTATGATTGCAATGCAACTGCTGATGTAATTAATGGCAGTGAAAAATATACTACACCATTTCCTAACCCCCGTGCACCCGAGGGGTCTTCTACAGCTTCCTGACTGTGGTTCTTGACTGGCAACTCTTGCAGACTCTTCCTTTGTTGTCTGCTTTGTTTTTGTGCTTTTCTTGTGACCATATTTTAGTATATTAGAATCTAGATATCATTAAAAATTTAAAATATTTTACTAGAGTAGATAATATCATACTTATAGGGCATTAAACAACACTCCTATAGACATTTAGTGTATTCGCCTCCGACTTTCATTTCCATCTGAACAAGCCTTTTATTATCCTACAGTTTGCACTGTATGTTATACATTATATTTATAAATGTAAGAAATTAAACAAATAACTCGTTAGTTATGAGCCTATAATACTTAAGATTAGAACAAGTAATTGGATAAAACATACAGAGCACTAAGTACATGTACTGAGAAACCATTTAAAAAGGAAACACTATGTAATTTGTATGACTTCAGATAGTAGAAAATATAGAAGACTGAACATGCTGTAAATGTGGTGGAAAGTGAAGTTAAATGAGACAGGTGAGGAACTGGACACATGCAAAATCAGAACATGAGGTGATACATTATATATGGTAAGGTCACAGCACACAGTGAACTAGTATGTATCACAATTTGTCTACCTAACAGGAATTTTGGTAAATTCTGCTAGGTATTAATGTAATTGTGTTCATTGGACATTCACTTTTTTGTTCTTCCTGAATACAAGAGATCTTCACTTAGCATTGTTTTGTTATAACATTCACGAGAAAAAAAGGATTCCTGGCCGGGGGCCACTGTGTATGTGGAGTTTGCACATTTGTTTTTGAACTGCCTGGTGGTAGAAGGTGCTCCTTACAATTTTTGCTTTGCAAACACATTCCTTGATTTAACTTTGTTGCAATGAGTGGTAAAAGTGCACTGGGCACTTCTGATGTTTATATCAATTAGCCTATAGTAAAATTGGTTTCATTATACATCGTTTTGCTTAAAGTCACAGTTTCCAAGACCCTGTCAACATTAAGTGAGGACTTACTGTACACATTTTCCATACTCCAGCTCTTCGAGTACTATTGTTGTGTATATGGGAAGCATTCTTGTGTACATAACCTTTAGGTTCCATTTGTTAATAGATTTCTCCTAAGTGAGCATCTGCTACATCTCTGCTGTGATTGTTTAATTTATGTTGACTCTTCTCATGACAGAGTTACTGATTATCCTGAATGTCTTGCATACAACTCTAATGCTGACTTTATTTCATGTACTAGTTGTCTTCATCCATCATCATCACAATTTCTCCAGCTTGTTCTATAAGGATATGGCAAACACCGTTACTAGTGCGGTACTGTAATGTATATCAAATAAAGTCAACATAAGGATTGTATATAATGTGTTGAGTGAGGAAGTGATGGAGACAGTTTCAAGACTAGGTAGAGTGTAAGAGGCCCAGGAATCAGTAAATATTGGTTAATTTTGAAGATAAGAGGCACAGCAGGAGTAAAGCTTCAACCCCCATTAACACAACTCTGCAAGTATATCAGTGGTATACAATACCAACAAGATGATGAATTAACCCTTTGACTGTCGCAACCCCCAATCCTGAGGTGTCTCCTGGTGTCGCAAAATTTAAAAAAAAAAAAAATTATTTTTTCTTATGAAATGATAGAGAATCTTTTCCCGATTGTAATGACACCAAAAAAACGAAATTTTATGGAAAACTGACGGAATTATGCTCTCGCGAAGTTAGCGACCTCGGCGCTGTTTACAAATCGGCGATTTCGCCCACTTTGAGCCCTATTTTCGGGTAATTTCATTGTTCCAGTCGCCCAAACTCATAGCTATTTCTTTAGAACTTCATTTTTTCTATCGATTGAGTACAAGAAACTGCCCATTTACTGATTTCAACTACCTAATAATGTGGTCAGAAATTTGCAATTTGGCCAATTTCACGAAAACTAAAAAATATGACAATTTCAAAATAAGGTCCAGAATGAACAATGCAGACATTCCTGGCTCTAAAATAACGTTTTCTTTGTTCATCAGTCACGTCTCCAGGCCCCTCTGATATTACTCTTGCTTTCTATTTTGAATTTTTATTCAAACAAAAAATATTAGACTTACTATTATGCAGACTACTGCAATGCTGTAATAACTGTATAAATAACATCAACCCATTCATGACTGCATATTAGAATGGCTAGTTGGACATTTATTGGACAATGGCATCATTTGTTTACTTTTGAACATTGGTAAAAATCAAACATTTCCCCTACTTTGAGCTCCATTTCTAGGTTCTTTTTATAGTAAAATCAGTCAAAAACACCTCTATTTCTGTAATATGTTTTCCATTCTATCAAATGAGACCAAGAAAACGAGAATACAACCATAAATACTATACGAAAATAGACCACAAAGTCGGCATTTTAATTAAAAAAAACGGTCGGAGTTTTTTTTTTCTCATTATGCACTGCGTGCTCCAGGATTTTTTTTATATGGTGCACACTGACCACACAGACCCATTCTCTCACATGTGGGCCTACCAGCTTTCTCCTGCTTGATTTGAAGCCGCTAGAATTTATGAGTATATATACGTCAAACACGGCACCTCGTAAAACGTATATATACGGCCGCGACAGTCAAAGGGTTAAACACATGTGCAACTTCTGGGTATCCTTATCACATTCAACAAGGCTACAGTGCTCTACACTTGCTCCTAGGCTAAGGGACTGCTTATTTCATCTTCTGTTGAATTCTGTACATAATTCCGTGAAATGTTGTCATAAGCTTTTCTCTCCTATGTGTTGGTTATTGGTGTATAATTTTGTGAAGGTGAAGGACTGATTACTTCCTTTTCTGCAGTCTTCCATTTATGTCCCTGTGATTAAGCCACTGGTTGGTGTAACATCAATAAAGATGCCCAGATGTTACATGTGTGTCTAATTCACAACTCGGTAAGTTAACTCCACACATTCTTGCATCATAGCCACAACACCTCATGAGCTGTGGATGCAGAATTTATCATGAAAGAGAAAAGTAGGCAGACATGTATGATTCTGCTGCCATTCAGCATTAGAGAGCAACATCAGTGAACCAACCAACACTTGCTCAACCTTTAGTGATTATGTTGACACAAATTGTGAACATGCTAGGTTAGTGTGTGTACATTGATCAGTCCATATTCATTTGATTTTCCATGTACAAAGTGTGCATCTCGACATCTCCATATATACTGTGTGTACCTTGACCTCCCCATGTACATGGTACTGTATGTACTTTGACCTCCCCATGTACATGGTACTGTGTGTACCTTGACCTCCCCATTTTTTTTTTTTTTTTTTTTTTTTACACAGGGTTTGACAAGGTTAAGGATCCCTAGCTTTATTGACAGCTATTTACAGGTTAAGGATTCCTAACTTTATTGGCAAGCTACATGGTACATGGTACTGTGTGTACTTTGACCTCCCCATGTATACAGTACTGTGTGTACCTTGACCTATCAGTATTTACACACTGTGCATACTCTGGCCATATTAGTGTGTACACTGTGTATACTCTGGCCATATTAGTGTGTACACACTGTGTATACTCTGGCCATATTAGTGTGTACACACTGTATGTACCCTGACCTCTCCATGTACACACATGTGTACCTTGACCTCTCCATGTACACACAGTACGCGTACCTTGACTTCTCCGTGAACACACAGTGTGCACAGTATGTGTACCTTGACTTCTACATGAACACACAGTGTGCACCTTGACATTCTTATGTACAGTGTATACCTTGACCTTTCCATTTACATGGTGTGTATCTTGGGCCTCTATGTACATGGTGTGTACCTTCAATCCATGTATACACTGTGTGTACATTTACCTCTCCATGCACACAGCAAACATTAATCTCTCTATGTACATAAACACAGTGTACACCTTGACCTGTTTATATATACTATGTGACTTTAACTCTGTACATATACAATGTGTATCTTGTTAGGTAAAAGGAAACATTGCCACAATAAAATGTCACATTAGTTGTATATGTGTCCTTTTATCTAACATAGTACAGGTGGCCCTCCACATTCATGAGGGTTAGGGAATCAAGAACCTCGCGAATGTTGAAAATTCGCGAATGTTTGGTGCACAAATATATTGTAGGGAAATATAATAATAGCATTTACTTAGCCTAACAATACTGCTTCGTTAACCTATTGAACCATGAAGTCATAAAACACATTAAAACATCGTAAAATGCATACATGTATTGTATATACATGCATGTTATGGTTTAATAACAAATAATGAACAAACAAAATACTCACCACTCGTAAGGTTAGGTAGATGAACTCTGTTGACTTGTGATGATGATGACTATGATGATGGTGATGATAGTTAGCCATGCAGTTACTGATGACAGTTGAATGGAGGTGATTATATGGAGTGTAACTGCATGGCATGATGAGTCTAGTGTGTGGATTCTAACTCTTCACTGCCAGCATGACTGCCAATAATAGGCAGTGGATCATTGACATCGCTTGAGTCAGAGTTAGCAATGGGAGTAGTGGCAGGCTTCCTTGTGAAGAACATTGTGATGGGCAACTGAGACCGTTTCCTATTCATATCTACAAACAGAGTTTTGTAGGGAATTATGCTCCTATCAGTGTCGTTCGTCACCTTCAAAGCCCTCAACATCGATGGGTCTATGTCGTAAAATAATTGTTTGAGCTGTGCTATCATTCTCATTGCTTGCCCTATTTTTTCAAGGGTGTTCGAAGCTCGCGAATGTGGAGGGCCACCTGTAATCCTACCATTATTACTGTATATCTTACCCTATACATAATGTATACCATGGCCTCTCCATGTATGTACAATATACACATAATGCCTCTCTTGTTTTGCTTGCACTCACTTTATTCTTAAGGGAAGATGTATTGATGCTGATAAGGGGCTCTTGATCCAAGGAATTATAATGTAGCTCCCTCCCTCTCCCATTCCCCGGGCACTGCATGACTCGTATTGCAAATGGTTTTTGGGACTTGATGTGCTGTTGGAGTGTGAGCAGGGTAACATTTTGTGAAGGGATTGAGGGAAACCATTTAGTTGGACTAAAGTCCTGGAGGTGGGAAGTACAATGCTTACACTCTGAAGGAGGGGTGAAGATATTTGCAGTTCAGAGAGGCATCTGAACTGTAGTATCAGCACACCTTTGGCAAGACAGTGATGGAGTGAATGATAGTAAAAGTGTTTCGTTTTTGGGTCACTCTAACTCAGTGGGAGGTGGCCAGCGTGTTTGAAATAATAATAATAATAATTCATCCTTTTACAAGCAACCAGTTATGGTATTATTTTCAAAGGAAACACTAAACTTGTATTGGTTATACATTGCCTAAGGAATGGGAGGCATTCAAGTTTGATGAAAGTCGCTCCAGTGCCCATGTATTTATTTCATCTATAATAGATCCCTTTGAGGTGAAGTTTTCATCTGGAATAGTCTTACTGCAGTAGATCACAGGTTATGCAACAGCCTTGCCAAGAAGGTTTCCTGGATTTTCAGTGACATTAGGTGATTACAATATCTTTTATTATCACAAATAACCCACAGGAAATCCTCACTTTTACACTTGCCAAAATCTCTGCTTCAAGTACTGAGGCAGATAATAGGATTGACCTCATTACCATTCATGATACTGTCAAGTCTGCTAATGGTATCCTGTATCCCAGCCCCAGGAAAATAAACCCTCTGACTCATGATGATGTATGAGTCTGTCCTAGACAATCATCAAGTCACTTGACGATGGTCCAAAATGGAATAAAACATTGTCATAGGTTTTGTCTCCTAAGTTTGGGTTATTTGTGATTTCTTCCAGCTAGGGTAATGTGGCAATTTACTCTTATTGTTTATATTGTCTTGTTGCACATTCTTTTTTAGAATTATCTATTTAGGTGCTGGCTTGAGCAGGAATGCTGGATATTGTTGGATGCTGAGTAACCAGTCTTTGGATAACTGACAATCTATTGTATCTGCGTAGTGTTTCCAGTCACTATAAATAAATAGATATGATACAGGTTCATAAATAAATAGATGTGATACAGGTTCATAACTAATGAAAATAACATAAAAATCTAGCCAGATTTAAATGTTCTTAATTCATATGACAATAAACACAATATTACTGTATATTTATTATATTATGTTGTTTATTGGTCTTGTTTTTCAATGTAATTTGTTTATGAAACTACATAAGCAGAATTCAAATAATGTTTGTTTCTCTTAGCGACCTCTCTCAGTGAGAGTAATGGAAGCCTTCCAGGGGACCGCCACTCCCACAGTGTCCCGAGCAGCCCTAGAAGTGTCTCCAGACCCTATTCTGAAGTCGTGGGCTCTGCTGAGAGCTTGGTCGGCAGGGTAAGTACCATTATGTCCCTGGTCATTTCTTGTATTGTCACAAAAAATTGAGTGCTGTTACAACAGTTGCAAGCTTGGCTTCCTCCTCACCTCTTCACCCAACCTGTGTGGTGTCTTTCTCCTTATTTCTTCAATTAACCTGTTTTATCTTCCTCCTTACCTCTTTACTTGACCTGTGTTCTGACTGCCATTTTCTCTCTGTTGTGACTTGATAATGCTCCAGGATGGACTGAAACCTTACGCAAAGTTTCCTCTACAAATGTTGCATTACGTAGTTGCAAATTATCTGCCCTTTACAATTACAATTTTTATTTCTTTGCAAGTTAACATTGAGATTCTTTAGTTGCAATAATGAGTTGTAGGCAAAGAGAGCCACTATCATGCCACGGCATTATGGGCAGATTAAATTAATAGCTTACAGACTACTTAAAACTAGAGAAATTGATCATAGTTTGTTTCAGTTGTATATCTGTTTTTAGTTAAAGCAGACAGTAAGTTAACTCAAGTTAAAATCATTAATACTAAATAGCCTTTCATTATGCCACATGTATTGAAACACTATGTGAATAGATGTTTACTCTTCAGTTTTGGTAATGCAGTATGTTTCATCAAGCATAAAAATGCCTTTTAAATATGAGAGAATTCACTCTATTTGTATTCCCTATGATGGACTGTTATGGTAAGACTCTCGAGGCTACACGATCCTCCTTACTATGTACATATTGACACAAAAGGTTAGAGAAAAAAAGTCAGTCTCTGCAGTTCAGTTAGTTGTACTCCGAATATTTAAGGAGAATAACATGTATGCTGCAGACAACACATTCCTGGAGACCTTACACATTACCTGGAGAGAGTTTTGGGGTTCAACACCCCTGCAGCCCAGTCTGAGACCAAGCCTCATGGTGGATCAGGGTTTGATCAACCAGGCTGTTACTGCTGGCTGCATGCAAACTGACATACAACCCACAGCCTAGCTGGTCAGGTACTGACTTTAGGTGCCTGTCCAATGCCTTCTTGAAGACAGCCAGGGGTCTATTGGTAATCCTCTTTATGTGTGTTGGGAGGCAGTTGAACAGTCGTAGGTAACATCTATTTTTTTTTTTTTCTCCCAACAAGTTGCTAATCTCCCACCGAGGCAGGGTGACCCAAAAAGAAAGAAAATCCCCAAAAAGAAAATACTTTTATCATCATTCAACACTTTCACCTCACTCATACATAATCACTGTTTTTGCAGAGGTGCCCAGAAAACAACAGTTTAGAAACATATACATATAAAGATACACAACATATCCCTCCAAACTGCCAATATCCCAAACCCCTCCTTTAAAGTGCAGGCATTGTACTTCCCATTTCCAGTACTCAAGTTTGGCTATATAAAAATAACTGGCTTCCCTGAATCCCTTCACTAAATATTACCCTGCTCACACTCCAACAGCTTGTCAGGTCCCAAATACCATTCGTCTCCATTCACTCCTATCTTACACACTCACGCATGCTTGCTGGAAGTCCAAGCCCCTCACCCACAAAAACCTCCTTTACCCCCTCCCTCCAACCTTTTTGAGGACGACCCCAACCCCGCCTTCCTTCCCCTACAGATTTATACTCTCTCCATGTCATTCTACTTTGATCTATTATCTCTAAATGACCAAACCACCTCAACAACCCCTCTTTAGCCCTCTGACTAATACTTTTATTAACTCCACACCACCTCCCAATTTCCACACTCTGAATTCTCTGCATAATATTTACTACACACATTGCCCTTAGACAGGACATCTCCACCACCTCCAACCGCCTCCTCACTGCAGCATTTACAACCCAAGCTTCACACCCATATAAGAGTGTTGGTACCACTATACTTTCATACATTCCCTTCTTTGCCTCCGTAGATAATGTTTTTTTGTCTCCACATATACCTCAATGCACCACTCACCTTTTTTCCTTCATCAATTCTATGGTTAACCTCATCCTTCATAAACCCATTCACTGACAAGTCAACTCTCAAATATCTGAAAACATTCTCTTCTTCCATATGCGCTCTCTCCAATGTGATATCCAATTTTTCTTTATCTAAATCATTTGATACCCTCATCACCTTATTCTTATCTATGTTCACTTTCAACTTTCTACCGTTACACACCCTCCCAAACTCGTCCACTAACCTTTGCAGCTTTTCTTTAGAATCTTCCATAAGCACAGTATCATCAGCAAAAAGTAACTGTGTCAACTCCCATTTTGTATTTGATTCCCCATAATTTAATCCCACCCCTTTCCCCAACACCTTAGCATTTACTTCTTTTACAACCCATCTATAAATATATTAAACAACCATGGTGACATTACACATCCCTGTCTAAAACCTCCTTTTACCAGGAAGTAATCTCCCTCTCTCCTACACCCTAACCTGAGCCTCACTATCCTCATAAAAACTCTTTACAGTATTTAGTAACTTACTACCTATTCCATATACTTGCAACATCTGCCACGTTGCTCCCCTATTCACTCTATCATATGCCTTTTCTAAATCCATAAATGCAATGAAAATTTCCCTACCTTTATCTAAATACTGTTCACATATATGCTTCAATGTAAACACCTGATCTACACATTCCCTACCCACTCTGAAGCCTCCTTACTCATCTGCAATCCTACTCTTTGTCTTACCTCTAATTCTTTCAGTAATAACCCTACGTACACTTTTCCTGGTATACTCAGTAAACTTATTCTCCTCTAATTTTTACAATCTCTTTTGCCTCCCTTCTTTTTATATAAAGGACCTATACATGCTCTCTGCCAATCCCTAGGTACCTTCCTTCCCCTCTTTCATACATTTATTAAACAAAAATACCAACCACTCCAGCACTGTATCCCCCCCCCTTGCTTTTAACATTTCTGTCATAATCCCGTCAGTTCCAGCTGCCTTACCCCCTTTCATTCTATGTAATGCCTCACGCACCTCCCCAACACTCACATCCTGCTCTTCTTCACTCTTAAAAAATGTTATACCTGCCATCCCAGTGCACGAAATTACTGCCTCCCTTTCTTCATCGGCATTTAAAAGTTTCTCAAAATATTCCCACCATCTACCTAATACCTCCAGCTCCCCATATACTAACTCCCCTACTCTGTTTTTAACTGACAAATCCATTCGTTCCCTAGGCTTTCTTAACTTGTTTATCTCACTCCAAAATTTTTTTCTTATTTTCATCAAAATTTCTTGACAGTGCCTCTCCCACTCTATCATCTGCTCTCTTTTGCACTCTCTCACCACTCTCTTCACCTTTCTTTTACTCACCATATACTTGACTCTTCTTATAACACTTCTGCTTTGTAGAAACCTCTCGTGAGTTACCTTTTTCTCTTTTATCACGCCCTTTATTTCATCATTCCACCAATCATTCCTCTTTCCTCCTGCACTCACCCTCCTATAACCACAAACTTCTGCCCCATATCATAATTCTACATTTTTAAAACTATTCCAAGCCTCTTAACCCCCCCCCCCCCACTACTTATACTTGCACTAGCCCACCTTTCTGCCAATAGTTGCTTATATCTCACCCTAACTTCCTCCTCCCTTAGTTTATACACCTTCACCTCTCTCTTACTTGCTGTTGCCAAATTCTTTTTGTCCTAACTGTAGCTACAACTAAATAATGATCCGATATATCAGTTGCCCCTCATTAACCATGTACATCCTGAAGCCTGCCCATCAACCTTTTATCCACCAATACATAATCTAACAAACTACTTTCATTGCATGCTATATCATACCTTGTATACTTATTTATCCTCTTTTTCATAAATTATGTATTACTTATTACCAAACCTCTTCCTACACATAGCTCAATTAAAGGCTCCCCATTTTCATTTACCCCTGGCACCCCAAATTTACCTACTACTCCCTCCACAATATTTTTACCCACTTTAGCATTGAGATCCCCAACAATAAGTACTCTCTCACTTGGTTCAAAACTCCCCACACACTCACTCAACATTTCCCAAAATCTCTCTCACTCCTCTATACTTCTCTCTTCTCCAGGTACATAAACGCTTACTATAACCCACTTTTCCCATCCAACCCTTATTTTAGTCTACATAATCCTTAAATTTATATATTCCTATTCCCTCTTTTCCTGCCATAACTTATCCTTCAACATTATTGCTACTCCTTCTTTAGCTCTAACTCTATTTATTTATTTATTTATTTATTTATTTATTTATTTATTTAATAATTTGAACATACATACAGAGGTACAAAAAAATATAGGTAAGAGCAGCATGCCAGAGCCACTTGTATGCATAGCATTACGGGCAGGCTTAAAATTAACTTAAGATTAACTAAGCAATGGTGTAATCAGCGATAAAACATTATTGTAAACAGATAACAATAAAGCACAAATGAGTATTACAAAGACAGGCCATATGGTTGCATGCATTGCTGTACATTCAGTAGAATGGAGTATTCTGTTAGGTAGTGTATTTAAAAAATAACAAAGTTAGATTGGGTCTTAGGTTTAACATTTATGTGATATAATTGTGAGAAACATTTAAGATATACAATTTATAAGGTTCAGTTATTCAGTATTTATTTGGTTTTGGGTGAGTAAGTGATCTTTGAGATGAGACTTGAATTTATAAACAGGTAGTGTTTCTTTTATATTTACAGGTAATGAATTCCAGATTTTAGGGCCTTTTATGTGCATTGAGTTTTTGCATAGCGTGAGATGGACACGAGGAACATCAAAGAGTGATCTGTGCCTTGTGTTATGGTCAAGTGTTCTGTTGAGGTTGGCAAGGAGATGTTTGAGGGGAGGGTTATTATCAGAGTTAAGTGTTCTATGTATGTAATAGGTGCAGTAATAAGTATGGATGTTTTGTATGGTGAGTAGGTTTAGTGTTTTGAATATTGGTGGAGTGTGTTGCCTGTAGTGGGAATTTGTTATCATTCTGACTGCAGCTTTTTGTTGGGTAATTAGTGGTCTGAGATGGTTAATTGTTGT